GAGGTAGGTGGCGAGCTGGCTTGCGGAGTATGAAAGGTCAGGACGGCAGGTGACGGCTGCGAAGAGGAGGCATCCTAGCTTCCTCTGATAGTCGCGTATGCCGGCGAACGGACTTGAGTGGAACGGATTCTCCCTTGTTGTTTCCTGTCATGTAGCGGTACGGCGTGGAGATGGCGGTCGGCGTGAGAGCGAAGCGTTTGGCGATGGTGTCGGCGTATTTCGCGGCGTTGAGGTAGATCGCGTCTTCTTCTTCTCGGATGTTGAGGCCGAGGTACTGTGTGACGGTAGACGAGACCGTGAGTGTGAGGTCTTGCTGTAGCTCCCCTTCGAACCAGGTGGTGATGTCGTCGGTCGAGCCGATGTAGAGGAGGTCGTCTACGTAAACGATTAGCAGGATGTAATCGGTGTTCTTCGTGAGCCGGTACATGCCTTGATCGTGCGGTAGCTGTTTGAAGCCGATGCGGATGAGGCGAGTATGCAGGTACTGCTGCCACAGTCGCGGTGCCTGCTTGATCCCGTAAAGCGACTTGAGCAGCTGGCAGACATGCGTGGAGTCTGTGTTGGAGCCGTGTGGTAGCTCCACGAAAATCTCTGCGTCGACAGGTGCGTAGAGGAATGCGTTTGCGACGTCGATCTGTCGCAATTTCTTCTTCTTCATGGCGGCGATTGCGAGGAGAATGCGCAGTGACGTGTGGCGGCTGACCGGAGCGAAGGTTTCGGTGAAGTCGCGTCCGTGCTCTTGGTCGAAACCGCGTACGACCCAGCGCGCTTTAAATTTGTCGATGGTGCCGTCGGCCTTCGTCTTCACTCGGAAGACCCATTTTCCGGTAAGAATTCTCTTGTCTTGCGCTACGCCGATAGGGACAATTTTCCAGGTGTTGCGTTCCTCCAGTGCTTTCAGCTCCTTGTCCATGGCTTCGCGCCATTTTTCTCTGTGCTCCCCCCCCAGAGCCTGCTGAACTGTCGCAGGCTCCTTAGGAATGGTGGCGCCGTGGACCGCGGTGACGAGCCCAAGTATCTGGAGCCCACTCTGTGTGTAGCGGGGGAGTGTGGTATCCTCGGGATAAACTGCTTCGTCTCCAGCTTCTGGATCAGGTGCGAAGTTGGGCCCTATGCGTTCTGCTTCGTTGGTGTTGACTTCAGCAGGTGTAACGTAACCGTTGTCGGCGAAGTGGTAGTAGACTTCGGCGTTGACAATTTCGCGAGGATTTTCTTCGTCCATCGGTACGTCGACTGAGCAGTAGGGAAGAGGTCCGGCTTCTTCCGAGGCTCTGTCCACATTTTGCTCGTCCCAGTCAGCTTCGTCTTCTGCCGAGGCGAAGGCTCGGTCTCCACGGAATCCACCTGTGGGGTCTTGATTTTCGGCCAGGTTGGCAAGGTACGTTGGCAGGTTGAGTTGCTCGTAGAAGATGACATCATGTGCTGCCACTGTTTCTTTTGTCGCGACGTCGAAAATCTTCCATGCGTTGTAGTGTTTTTTTATGCCCAGGTGTAGTCCCCACTGTGCTCGTTGGGAGAATCGTCCTGCTCGTGCGGATGGGGGTCGGTACTGTACCATGCAGCCGAAAACTCTCAACATTTTTGTGCTGCCCAATTTTCCTGTCCATAGCAGATGCGGTGATGCGTTGTTCGGAAGTGAGGACGAAGAAAGCAGGTTGTGCAGCATCACGGCGTGGTCCATTGCGTCCTGCCACTGATGGTTGGGTAGCCGCATGCCACGTAGCAGTTTGCGCATGGTGTTCTGCAGGGTCCTGTTCATTCTTTCTGCTACACCTTGCTGTTGATGGGCGTAGGGAAGGGAGATGAGTCTCTTGATCCCCCTTTCTGCCAGGTACTCCTTGAACCTCTGTGAGGTGTACTCTCCTCCCCCGTCTGAATGGAAACTCTTCAGTTTGGCGCCCGATTCCCTTTCTGCTACGGGAAGCCACGCGACGAAGGCTTCGAAGGCCATGTCCCTGCTCGGAAGGTTGAGATGCCAGACGTAGCGTGTTGCTGCGTCGATGAACGTGATGGTGTAGTTGTACGCGTTCTGTCCGGGGGCGCGGTTGTATAGGATGTCGCTGTACACCTTTTCGAGAGGTGCGTAGACCGGAGCCCCGGGATTGTGGTGAGATGGGAATGGCTGATGTGGTAAGTCGGCTTCGGGACAGGTAAAACAGGTTCCACGTGCTCGTTGTAGTTCTATCCCGTCGGTTAGTAGGAGTGAGTCCTTGTCGAGCACTCCTGCCCTTATCGTATTATTAAAAACTGTGTTGCTTGGGTGTCCCATTCTTGCGTGCCAGGTACTTTCGTCGGTGCGATGTCCGAGTGATCGTTGATACAGATCGGAGTTGGAGTAGAAGCCGGCGGTGACGTTGGCGCTTCTGTGGACTTCTGGTGGTGCCGGGTTAAGCTGCTGCGCTGGTGTCGGTGGCGTGTCGTCGATGAAGGGCGGTGCCGTTGAAGGACCGGCGACTGGTGTTGATGTTTCTGCTGCTGCTGCTGTTGTCTCTGCTGCTGCCGATGTTGTCTCTGCTGCTGCCGATGTTGTCTCTGCTGCTGTTGATGTTGTCTCTGCTGCTGCCGATGTTGTCTCTGCTGCTGCTGATGTTGTCTCTGCTGCTGCCGACTGTTGAATCGTCACTAATGCCCTTGTTCTTTCTGTTTCAGGAATGGTGTGTGAGTACCAGAAGCCGCTCGGGCTGAAGTCTGGATCAAGGTCTGGAGGGTGTGTCCAGTTGGTGAAGTTGACGATGGCGTCGCTGTCGGCGGTGCCAAGATCTGGAACGAAGTCAAGAACGAAAACGTTGTTCTTGAGGACTGCCTTCCCGATGTAAAGGCCTCCTCTCCCGTGGTACAACTTGAATTCTTGGGTGGTGCTGTCTGCTTCGAGGTGGATGCCTTTCGCCATCAGCTGGCTGACGCTGAGTAAGTTGTAGCCGAGGCCTTCTGCAATTAAAACCTTGGACATCTGTAGGATGACGTTCGTCTCTCGTGACTGAAGTTGAACAATTCCTTGTCGTCGTGTGCGCAGGTTCTGATTGTTGGTGTTAGAAACTTAGAACGAACGAGAATGCTGGAACTAGGCAAGAGAGGGATACAAGTAGGAAACCCTAGCAATGTTGTACCCCCTAAGACTAAACCTACTATAGCCTACACACTATAAACATATATAATGTTTGACACACCCCCATAGGCTAAGTGGGAGACAACTAGATGGTCACAAGACCAGTCAAAGCAAAGCAAAGCAAGCTCAGGGTGGATCTCAAGGAAACCACACAAATTCTGAGCACAAGCAAGTGGTCACAAGACCAGTTCACATGCAGGTTGATAACACAACAAGAGGTACAGAGATCACAACCTAGCAAGTGTAAGCATGCACAAATATATATAGAGATCACAGTACAAACAGAGTCAAGAAGTAAGCAAGTGAGGCCCAGTAGGCACAAGGCCTAGAAGAGTACAAAAACGCTGATGATCACAAGGCTGAAGCGCCTTGGTAAACACATCAGCAGTGTTGGCCCGAGTGGCCACGTAAGCGAGACGAAGCTGACCACGCTGCTGCAGCTCTCGAGCAAGGAAGTAGCGCAGAGCGATGTGCTTCGTTCTGTGCTCCAGTCTGTGCTCCTGGCACAAGGCAATGGTAGCCTTGTTGTCGACGTACAGTACTGGAGGAGAACGAGGCCGCTCTCCCAAGTCGGTCAGCAGGTAGATGAGCCAGCGTAACTCCTGTGCAGCCATGGCTGTGGCGTAGATCTCAGCCTCACAACTAGAGCTGAGAACAGAGGAAGAGCGAGCACGTGGAACGCCAAGAAACTGAACCAGAGCCAAGGCTGAAGGTGTAACCCTGAGACGACCGCTGAGTAGCCTGGTCGTCAGCCCAAGAAGCGTCTGAGTGCCCAGTGAGCACAACTCTGTCCCGTCCTCCAAGCACTAGCCCCATGCCCGACGTACTGCACAAGTAGCGCAACACCCTTTTAGCGGCATCCATGTGCTCCTTCCTGTGACGGCCAGGAGCGACATAGCGTGCAAGGATGCTAAGAGGGTATGCAAGGTCAGGTCGAGTGCAGGTCATCAGGTACATGAGGCAGCCCACAAGCTCTGGATACGGGCCACTTGGCTCTACGGACTCATCCGAAGGCAGAGCTGAGAGCGGGTGACCGGTAGGCAGAGGAGTGGACTGAGGCGAGGAGTACGTGAAGTTGAAGCGCTGAAGGACCTGCTGCACCATGTGTGACTGAGTCAAGGTAATGGTGCGCCGTGCTCTGTCCCGGGTGATCCGCAAGCCAAGGTAGCTTGTCAGTTCACCCAGGTCTGTGCACGTGTGTCTCTTCTGCAGCTCCGACTTCACGTGGGCGAGAGCCTCAGTGTCAGCAGTGGCAAAGACCAAGTCGTCGACGTACACGAGGATGTAGAACGGCGGCAGCGAAGTGTCGGTGCGCAGAAACAGCGACGGGTCAGCAGTAGAAGGCGTGAACCCAAGAGCCGCAAGTGTAGTCCTCAGAGTGTCGTGCCACTCACGTGGTGCCTGGCGGAGACCGTAGACCGGCCGCCGGAGGCTCCACTGGGTACCAGGTGGGAACGACCCAGTGAAGCCAGGAGGGCGACGCAGCCAGATCTCCTCGTGCAGGCTGCCCTGTAAGAAAGCTGTGCTGAAGTCAAGAGAGTGAAGCTCGTAGTCGCGCTGAGCGGCTATGTGCAGCAGCACCCGAAGAGTGGTCATCTTCGGGGTGGGGGAGAAGGTCTGGAAGAAGTCTACTCCCTCTCGCTGACTGAAGCCTCGAGCAACGTAACGCGCCTTGAAGACAGGCAGAGAACCCGGCGGCCGCTTCACCCTGAAAATCCACATACCACTGACGATGTTCGCCCCAGGCGGGGGAACCTCGTCGACGTAGGTGCCTGTGGACTTCCAGGAAGCCATCTCTGCATCCATGGCTGTCTGCCACTGAGAGGAGTAGGGACCCTCTATCGCCTCTGCGTAAGAGCGCGGGGTCGGGATGTCTGGTGCATCCGGGTCTCCCTCAGGGGCAACTAGCATGGACACAAGATGGGGCAAAGCAGCAGCAAAGCACTGGAACTCCTCCTGCCTGTCCTCAAGGACGTCCGTGCGAAGAGCACACTCACCCCCGACGGACGGAGGACAGACAGACTCAGACTCAGCAACCAGGCTAGCAGCGTAGTCTAGACGACAAGCGGCAGCAAAGTCAACTAACTCAGCAACGAGAGCAGACGCAGCAGAGGACTCAAAGGTAGGGTCAGTGACAACAGTAGCGAGGAGATGCATGAGAGTAGGACGGGCGGCACGAAGGGAGTCAGACTCTGGGTCAGCGAGAGTAGGAAGAGAGGACGCAGGAGGAGAAGGCAGAGGGACACGCTGAGGAGCAGTGGAGGGACGGAGCGCCATCTGGTGAGTGCCGAGGACAGCAAGAGGACGCTGACGAGGGACACGACGACCAGAGCGAGCAGCACGAACAGGTGACGCAGAGCGAGACGCAGGCGACACAGGACGAGACTCAGGCTCACGACGCTCCGTAAGACCTCCAGTAGGACCAGTGTAAGGAGAAGGACCAGGGAGTGGCGAGGCAGGCGGTAACTGTGACTGCGACGGGACAGGTGGAGGACACTCTAAGGAGGGAGCAGGACAAGGAGGAGGAGGCTGACCAAGAACCTGCTGAAGGAGCGGAACGAAGTACGGCCGGGGCCGCGCAGCGTCTCCAGAACCAGTAGAGACACCACCAGCACCCGGAGCGGGTCCAGCAGGGCCAGCGCAAGGGTCCTCAGCACCAGAAGGAGCCCCAACGCCAGGGTCCCCAGCACCAGCAGCAGCTCCAACTCCAGGGTCGGCAGAACCAGCAGCAGCTCCAACTCCAGGGTCGGCAGGACCAGCAGCAGCTCCAACTCCAGGGTCGGCAGGACCAGCAGCAGCTCCAACTCCAGGGTCCGCAGCACCAGCAGCAGCTCCAACTCCAGGGTCGGCAGGACCAGCAGTAGCTCCAACTACCGGGTCGGCAGGACTAGCAGCAACTCCAACTCCAGGGTCCGCAGCACCAGCAGCAGCTCCAACTCCAGGGTCCGCAGCACCAGCAGCAGCTCCAACTCCAGGGTCCGCAGCACCAGCAGCAGCTCCAACTCCAGGGTCCGCAGCACCAGCAGCAGCTCCAACGCCAGAGTCCCAAGCACCAGCAGCTCCACTCCGGAGAGTGCAGCGCCGAGCGTACCACTCTCGGAGCTGCTGGAGAGAGGGGAGCTCCCGCCTAGGTGTCCGAAGGCCGCAGTACCGCGAGTACCACTCAAGCAGCTGCTCTGAAGAGGGAGGGTCTCCAGGCGCCGCACAGTCAGGTGTAGCACCCCCAGGCTCCGCACCCCCAGGCTCCGCACCCCCAGGCTCCGCACACTCAGGCTCAGCACCCCCAGGCTCCGCACCCCCAGGCTCCTCACACTCAGGCTCAGCACCCTCACGCTCAGCACCCGCAGGCTCCTCACACTCAGGCTCAGCACCCTCACGCTCAGCACCCGCAGGCTCAGTACCCCAAGCAGGACGAGAGTCGACAGCTACCTCGACAGGCTCAACTGGGTCTACCTGGGACACACCTGAGGGAGCGGCACCCTGAGGGGGGAGGGGGTCTAGCACAGCAGCACCTGGAGCGAGGAAGAGAGGCGGGGGGGGGAGCGGGGCAGTGCGGTAGGGGAAGAGGCGGTAGTAGGGGACGGACTCGTCGAAAGTGACGTCCTGAGAAGGCAGGACACGGCGCGAGGTGGGGTGGTAAAACTGTCAACCAGACGCATCCGGGACAAAGCCAAGGAAGACACAAGGAACAGTGCGGGAGGAGAGCTTGTCCGCGGACGCATCGCGGACAAAGGCTCGAGATCCCCAGACCCGAAAACGTGACGCATCGCCAACCTTGCCCGTCCAACGCAGCGTCGGGGAAGTCTCCGGAGTGGAGACACGGGGCCAGAGGTTGAGCTGATGCGCAGCGTATCGGACCGCAAACGGCCACAGAAAGTGGGGGGCAGCCGCATGGACCAAGGAGGTACGAGCGATCTCCATGACCAAGCCAATGCGGCGCTCAGCAACCCCATTCTGCTGTGGAGAGGCCGGAAGCGTGAACGACTGCTCAATGCCCTCCTGCTGACAGAAGGCCTCCAAGAGGCCGGAGGAAAACTCCCCACCTCTGTCAGAGTGCAGACGGAGGACAGGAAGGTCGGAGTGGAACCTCTTGCTGAGCTGGAGACGAGCAGTGCGGATCCAAGGGGTCAAAACATCAGGGACCTCACCCTTGGTGCGCAAGGGGAAGACCGTGGTGTAACGCGAGTAGTCGTCAACAACTATCAAGAAGTACCTCTCGTGACCCAGTCCACGAACGCGGGCTGGGCCCCACACGTCCATGTGGAGCGTCTGCAGGGGAGCAGTCGTCGGGGGAAAGGAGGAGGAGTGAGGAGCGGCGCGCTGCCGCCCCTCGACACAGGGAAGACAGGGAGGAGCAGGCGAGGGTGGGAGGGGAGGGAGCACCCTGGGAAGACCAGAGACAAGGTACCGGGAGTGCATGCCACGAAGGCGCTGCACGGACGGGTGACCAAGGCGGTGGTGCCAGAGGACGGTCTGGTGCGACAGGGAGCGACACGAGCAGGGGGCCGACAGCTGACCGGACGCAGACGTGGACGCAGATGCAGCTACCTGAGGGGGCTCAGTGGTCAGTGTGTACAGGTCCGACCCCGGCTGCCGAGTGAAGGTAGCCAAGTGGCGACCCGTCCTAGCACACGTGCAGTGTGTCACGCGCTCGTAGGCAGGGGTGAACTGGTGAACACCCCCATCCTGGAGCGCACTACCTGCCACCAAGTTCGTAGAGAACGAGGGGAGGTAGAGACCTGACAGTGTGCCCGACGGGACCGCAGGACAGGGAAGGACAGTGGAGGAGGTCGCAAGGACCGGACCCCCAGAGGGGTCAGCGAGGGAGACTGCAACTGGCCGAGCAAGCTGCTCAAGGTCAGTGCGGTCACGAAAGAAACAGCGAGAAGCGCCTGAGTCCAGGGTGAAGGTGTGCAGTGCCGCAGTAGACTCAGTACCAGGGGGCGCAGACTCACGAGCACCTAGGGCAGCAGCCTCACCAGCACCTGGGACAGCAGAGACGCTAGCACCCGGAGCGGCAGCCTCAACAGCACCTGGGGCAACAGACGCACTAGCACCTAGGGCGGCAGCCTCACTGGTCCAAATGCCCGGATAGGGCGGAACATGCAGGTACTGGGCACTCTCTCCACTAGTAGAGATCACATACATGGCACCAAGAATAACATCAAAGTCAAGAGCATAGACATCAATGTTCTTCCTCACCAGATCAGCCCAGCGGGGCAGCTCAGTGGCATCAGGAAACTGGGCGCGCCAAGCATCGTCAAGGTGGGAGAAGCAGCGCTGCGTGGTGTGCGCCCTCCCACACGTCTGACCAGCGCGGTCACCTGTGCGGATGACGTACGTGCAGCTAAGGCCACCCGCCCCCCCCCCCATGCTGAAGGTACCACTCACTAAGCTCCTGGGGCGAGAGAGTCTGCTGCTGGCGCGGACCACCACCTCGACCACCACCTCGACCACCACCACCCCTGCCGCCACCGCGTCGACTGCCGCCACTACCACCGCCCCCACCCCGGCCACCTCCTCCGCTGTTGCCGCCGCCACCCCCCGCCGCCGCCGCCACCACCCCCACTGCTGCCACTAGCCCCTCCAGCCCCTCCACCACCCCCACCGCCGCCACCGCCCCCACCACCGCCTCCCTCGCTGTCACCACCACCTCCCTTGCCCCCTTTGCCTTTGCCGCTGCGACGCCCACTCGAAGTGGACGCTGTCCCGACCTGCTCAGTCCCAAGGAGGTCGACAGTGGCAGCAGAGGCGACGGAGGGGAGAAGGGGGGAGGGGGAACACCCCTCAAAGAAAGGGGTGCGGGGGTCGCCACGAGAGGTACCTACAGCGACTATGCTAGTCTCAGCTGCAAGCAGTTCCTTCTCAAGCAGATCAATGGTGAGCTCAGTGGGGCAGCGAGCGAGGAAGTGGTCCCTAACCGCACGAAGAGAGTCAGGGAGACGGGTGACGATGTGGTAGAGAGTCAACCACAGCGGGGGGGGGTTCTTGGCAAGAAACTCAGCGGGGATAGCGGCACGAAAGCGGGCCTCACTAGAGCGGAGGTGCGTGATGAGGTCAGCGACTGTAGAGAAGGCGGACAGGTCTGGGAACAGGTAGGGAAGCGAGAGACGACCTAGCGCAGCAGAGGCAGGTGAGGAGTAGCGTGCAACTACAGCTTTGTACAGTGCCTGTGCAGTCTTGTGCTGGCCAAAGTGCTCGCGCTCATCTAACGGCAGGGAGGCGCGAATAGCGAAGCGAGCGTGGGCGTCACGAGTCTGCCACTGTGAGCGGGCAGTGCTGTCAGCATCAGCAGCAGGGGTAGCAACGTGGCCTAGCGCGTGATCGTACAGTGAGATATCCTCCTTGGCAGTGAGCTGGAGATACAGGTGCAGGTCATCGAGCCAGGTGTCAAATTTCACTGGGCGGGCGGCCCTTGTCAAACATTATACATGTTACATTTGTGTAGGCTATAGTGGGTTAGTCTATAGGGGGGTCACAACTCTAGGGTTTCATATTTGTACTCTCATTCCTTTCTAGTCCAACAACACTTGTTCATTCTAACATGGTATTATGAGTTTAGGTTAGGCACCTAGGACCGCCTACTACTACGGGCCCACCGTTCCGCGAGAAGCGCCCTCGTGCGCCTCGTCTCACTCGCGCCCTCGTGCGCCTCTCTCTACTCGTGCGCCCTCGTGCGCCCTCGCGCCCTCGTGCGCCTCTCACTACCGCGCGCGCGCAGCAGCCCGCTAGCCACCCGCGCGCGGCCCGCTTTCCGTCCGCGCAGCCCGCTAGCTACCCGCGCGCGGCCCGCTTGCCGTGCGCGCGACCCGCTAGCCGCCCGCGCGTGGCCCGCCAGCTCCCCGCGCAGCCAGCGCCGCTAGCGCGCGGCCCGCCGCGGCCGTGTGCGGCCCCGCGCGCAGCCCGCGCGCTGCTCGCCGCCTCGCGCTGCCGTCGCTCGCACGCAGGCCGCAGCCCCGCGCACCCGCCGCCCGTACGCAGGCCGCAGCCCGCGCGCCGCAGCTGCCCGCACGCCGGCCGCCTCCACGCAGCTGCCGCCCGCGCGCAACTGCAGCCCGCGCACAGCCGCAGCTGCTCGCACGCCTGCCGCCTCTGCGCAGCTGCCGCCCGCGCGCAACCGCAGCCTACGCGCCGCTGCCGCCCGTGCGCAGGCCCCCCGCTGGACTGTCGACCCCGGCCGCCCCCCGCCTAGCGGCCCCGCCGGCCCGTCGATCCCGCCCGCGTCCCGCCTAGACGCCCCCCCGGACCCGTCGACCCCGCTCGCGCCCCGCATAGAGGCCCCGCCGGCCCCGTCGACCCCGCGCACAGCCTCCCAGCGGCCCCGTCACTACGGCTACTACTGCTACCGCTACTGCTGCTACTGCTACTGCTGCTGCTACTATGGCTAGTCCTCCTGTACTCGCTTTCGATGCTGAGGGCCGCCCAGTGAAGTTCGACACCTGGCTAGATGACCTGCACCTCTTCCTACAGCTCACTGCCAAGGAGGATATTTCACTGTACGATCATGCCCTCGGTCACGCTACTGCCCCTCCTACCACTGCTGACAGAACTCAACGCTCACAGTGGCAGACTCGTGACGCCCACGCTCGCTTTGCTATTCGCAACTCCCTGCCGCTAGATGAGCGCGAGCACTTTGGCCAGCACAAGACTGCTAAGGACCTGTACACTGCTGTCGTTGCTCGTTACTCCTCGCCTGCTTCTGCCGCACTAGGCCGCCTCTCACTCCCCTACCTGTTCCCCGACCTGGCCTCCTTTCACACAGTTGCTGACCTCATCACCCACCTCAAGACTAGTGAGGCCCGCTTCCGCGCTGCTATGCCTGACGAGTTCCTTGCTAGCAACCCCCCCCCGCTCTGGCTCACTCTTTACCACATCGTCACCCGCCTCCCTGACTCTCTGCGCGCAGTCAGGGATCACTTTCTAGCTCGCTGCCCCACTGAGCTCACCATTGCCCTCCTCGAGAAGGAACTACTTGCAGCTGAGGCGAGCATCGTCGCTGTAGGTGCCTCTCGTGGCGACCCCCGCACCCCTTTCTTTGAGGGGTGTTCCCCTTCCCCCCTTCTCCCCTCTGTAGCCTCTGCTTCTGCTGTCGACCTCCTTGGTGCTGAGAAGGTTGGGACGGCGTCTGCTCCGAGCGGCCGCCGCAGGAACAGAGGGGGCAAGGGTGGAGGCGATGGGAGTGGAGGAGGGGCTGGAGAGGCTAGTGGCGGCAGTGGGGGTGGTGACGGCAGCGGCGGGGGCGGTGGCAGGGGCGGGGGCGGCAGCGGGGGCGGAGGTGGTCGTGGCAGCGGCAGGGGAGGAGGTGGTCGAGGAGGTGGCGGCGGCGGTGGTGGTCGTGGAGGCGCTGGCGGTGGTCTGAGCCAGCAGCACACTCCGTCGCTCCAGGAGGCCCGTGAGTGGTATTCGCAGCGCCCGCGGGTGGGTGGGTTTAGCTGCACGTACGTCATCCGCACTGGTGACCGCACTGGTCAGACGTGTGGGAGGCCGCACCCCACGCAGCGCTGTTTCTCGCGCCTTGACGACGCTTGGCGCGCCCAGTTCCCTGATGGCGCTGAGCTGCCCCGCTGGGCTGATCTGGAGAGGAAGGGAGTTGATATCTGGGCTCTAGACTTTGATGCTATTCTCACTGCCATGTATGCGATGTTTACTAGTGGAGAGGGTGCTCAGTACTTGCGTGTTCCGCCCGACCTGGGCATTCTGACCAGTGAGGCTGCCGCTCTAGGTGCTAGTGAGACTGCCACTGCAGGTACTCGCGTGTCTGCCACCTCAGGTGATGGTGAGGCTGCCGCTCTAGGTGCCAGTGAGTCTGTCCCCCCTGGTACTGAGTCGACTGAGGCACTGCACACCTTCACCCTGGACTCAGGTGCTTCTCGCTGTTTCTTTCGTGACCGCACTGCCCTTGAGCCGCTTGCTCGGCCAGTTGCTGTCTCCCTCGCTGACCCCTCTTGGGGTCCGGTCATTGCGACCTCCTCCACTGTTCTTCCCTGTCCTGCGGTCCCGTCGGGCACACTGTCTGGTCTCCACCTCCCCTCGTTCTCTACGAACTTGGTGGCGGGTTGTGCGCTCCAGGACGCGGGTGTTCACCAGTTCACCCCTGCCTACGAGCGCGTGACACACTGCACGTGTGCTCGGACGGGCCGTCACCTGGCTACCTTCACTCGGCAGCCGGGGTCGGACCTGTACACACTGACCACTGAGTCCCCTCAGGTAGCTGCGTTTGCGTCTGCGTCAGGTCAGCTGTCGGCCCCCTGCTCGTGTCGCTCTCTGGCGCACGAGACCGTCCTCTGGCACCACCGACTTGGTCACCCGTCTGTGCAGCGCCTTCGTGCCATGCACAAACGGTACCTTGTCTCTGGTCTTCCCAGGGTTCTCCCTCCCCTCCCACCCTCGCCTGCTCCTCCCTGTCTTCCCTGTGTCGAGGGGCGGCAGCGCGCCGCTCCTCACTCCTCCTCCTTTCCCCCGACGACTGCTCCCTTGCAGACGCTCCACCTGGACGTGTGGGGCCCAGCCCGCGTCCGTGGACAGGGTCAGGAGAGGTACTTCCTGATTGTTGTTGACGACTACTCGCGCTACACCACGGTCTTCCCCTTGCGCACCAAGGGTGAGGTCCCTGATGTCTTGATCCCTTGGATCCGCAGAGCTCGTCTCCAGCTCAGCGAGCGTTTTCGCTCGGACTTTCCTGTCCTGCGTTTGCACTCTGACAGAGGTGGTGAGTTCTCCTCCGACCTCCTGGCAGCCTACTGTGCCGAGCACGGCATTGAGCAGTCGTTCACGCTTCCGGCCTCTCCACAGCAGAATGGGGTTGCTGAGCGCCGCATTGGCTTGGTCATGGAGGTCGCTCGTACCTCCCTGATCCATGCGGCTGCTCCCCACTTTCTGTGGCCGTTTGCGGTCCGATACGCTGCGCATCAGCTCAACCTCTGGCCCCGTGTCTCCTTGCCGGAGACTTCCCCGACACTGCGTTGGACGGGAGAGGTTGGCGATGCGTCGCGTTTTCGGGTCTGGGGATCCCGAGCTTTTGTTCGCGACACGTCTGCGGACAAGCTCTCCCGTCGCGCTGTTCCTTGTGTCTTCCTTGGCTTTGTCCCAGACGCGCCTGGTTGGCAGTTCTACCACGTCACCTCGCGCCGGGTTCTGCCTTCTCAGGACGTCACTTTTGACGAGTCCGTCCCCTACTACCGCCTCTTCCCCTACCGCACTGCCCCGCTCCCCCCCTCGCCTCTCTTCCTTACGCCAGGTGCTGCTGTGGTAGACCCCCTCCCCCCTCAGGGTGCCGCTCCCTCAGGTGTGTCCCAGGTAGACCTGGTTGAGCCTGTCGAGGTAGCTGTCGACTCTCGTCCTGCTAGGGGTGCTGAGCCTGAGCGTGAGGAGCCTGGGGGTGCGGAGCCTGGGGGTGCTGAGCCTGGGGGTACTGAGCCTGGGGGTGCGGAGCCTGGGGGTGCTGAGCTTGGAGGTGCGGAGCCTGGGGGTGCTGAGCCTGGAGGTGCTGAGTCTGGGGGTGCTGAGTCTGGGGGTGCTGAGCCTTAGAGTACTACACCTGGAGGAGCCCTCTCCTCACAGCAGCTGCAGGAGAGGTACCTCCAGTACTGCAGCCTCCGAAGAGGTGCTGCTGGAGCTGGTACCAGTGCTTCCCCTCCTACCCGGGAGCTCCCCTCCCTTCAGCAGATCCGAGAGTGGTACACGCGGCGCTGCAGTCTTCGGAGTGGTGCTCCTGGTGCTGCGGACCCTGGAGTTGGAGCTGCTGCGGACCCGGGCGGTGGAGCTGCTGCTGGTGCTGAGGACCCGAGCGGTGGAGCTGCTGCTGGTGCTGAGGACCCGGGCGGTGGCGCTGCTGCTGGTGCTGAGGACCCGAGCGGTGGAGCTGCTGCTGGTGCTGAGAACCCGAGCGGTGGAGCTGCTGCTGGTGCTGAGGACCCGGACGTTGGAGCTACTGCTGGTGCTGAGGACCCGGGCGTTGGAGCTGCTGCTGGTGACGAGGACCCGAGCGGTGGAGCTACTGCTGGTGCTGAGGACCCGGGCGGTGGAGCTGCTGCTGGTGCTGAGGACCCTGGCGCTGGTGTCTCTGCTGGTTCTGGAGACGCTGCGCGGCCGCGACCGTACTTCATACCGCTCCTTCAGCAGGTTCTTGGTCAGGCTCCTCCTCCTTGTCCTCCTCCCTCCGTAGAGTGTCCTCCGCCTGTCCAGTCGCAGTCCCAGTTACCGCCTGCC